TTACAAACCCCTAGAGTTAAAAATTTGCTTTGAAAAAAAATTTAAAACATGCAAAAGTTCAAATAAACAAAAAATCTTAAAAAACAAAGCAAAAAAAGTAGAATTAGGAATGAAGTTTAAGGTTTATTATCCAAAGAAGAGATGTGGTAGAGGAAGCGTTCATTGTGGAAGAAGATAAATTGGCAAGGAGGCAATACCATGTGTGAGAAAGACAGGTCAAGAAGAATATGTGAGAGAAGAAAGGCGCTCGATTCAACTTTGGACCTTAGATTGTGAGGCGTGAGGCATTAGGATAGGATGAGTTAATAGAAGGTTTTTTAATTTTATTAATTTATACTTGCAAAGAAAATCTAGTATAAATTGCACTTGCCGCACAAAAAATGAGGGGAGGCATGCCTCACATAACTAGCTATGAGGCATGCACCATATCAAAATTTTCGAAAAACAATATGCCTCAGATTACACAATTTTAAATATTGAATTGCAAAGCATAACCTCATTTACCATGTTTTCTAAGAGACGATATTTGTTCATGTTGAAAATAATATACGTTAAGCCTTGGTGTTTTTATGCTTGGGATAATATTTTCATGATTTTACTTCAAAAATTATAAACAATTTTATATTTGGCTAAAACACTTGTTATTTTTCAAATATTCATGTAGTGAGGAACTAACCAGAAGATCTCCTATGGTATTATAATAGTAAAAAAATATCATTATCTGACATTTTCTACATAAAAAATATATAATACCCCCATCAATTTTAAAAACTTCAATTTTCTTACAATAATTTAATAACTAAGTTGGCAAATAACTACAGCCTTTCAAAACAGACTTTGAGACTAATCCATGTGTGAAAAAAAATTACTGATGGGCATAGTCAGCTGTAAATTAATACACATAAATCTCAGTAATCTTAGTAATCAATGGTCCAATAAGAAAGATATTTTATTTTTGGTTAAGCAATTTTGCAATCTTAGTGCTTTCTGTAATACCAACGCTAAGCAGTATTTCTGATGAGGACATCGACAGACGCTACCGACATGTTTATTGACGGCGAAATCGCAAATCGACAGCCACGATTCAGCGCCTTTACTTTTGATTCCGATGTCATGATGTATGATTTAGTATTTGCAGTTTTTTCATTTTTACCCCTGTGGGGAGTTGCTTTGTTATTGTAGCCCAAATGGCAATTTCGTGCTTTCTTTTTATCATGAGTTGAGACCTATATATAGTTATTGTAGCCCAAATGGCAATTTCGTGCTTTCTTTTTATCATTTGTTATTGTATATATTTTTACCCCTGTGGGGAGTTGCTTTGTTATTGTAGCCCAAATGGCAATTTCGTGCTTTCTTTTTATCATGAGTTGAGACCTATATATAGTTGTCTCATATGTTGTATGGAGGTTAATGAATATTTTGAATGAAAATTATGTTTTGTTTCCACTTCTTCTTGCATGAGAGCTAGAGAATGGAGAGAGCTCAAGGGGAGCAAATCGCAAGGCCCACCAGTCGTTGGAAGAGTCCGCGGCTCGTGGTTAAGTTCGTTTCCATTCTATCGGTGCTTCTTTCATCCTCATCCAACACCAAATGCCCCTCCCGTCTATTCCCAATTCGAACCACAATTTCATCCCGCCGACAACCTAAGGGAATCAACCGCCGGCCTCTCCCTTAGCCGCCGGCCACCCCTCCACCACCTCCTCGCCAACCTCCACCCGCCGGCCACTTCCCAATTACTCCCACTTGTCCAAATTTTGAAATTCAAGTTGAATGATTTTCAAAAATTTCCAAATTTGTCTACGGCCAAATTAGGAAAGTTTCAAATCTGATGCATTTAGATTTTTCTGCTTCAATTTTGTTATGAACAATATTTGTTATATTTTCTATTTTTTTTTGTTTTCAAGTTGAATGATTTTCAAAAATTTCCAAATTTGTCTACGGCCAAATTAGGAAAGTTTCAAATCCAAAATCAATTTGAAATTCAAATTGAAATGGACCTCATAATCTAACTTCCTAATGTGTATGTGCTAAATTGCAAAGCTCATAAATTGCTCCCACCCCTTTCCCTCTCCCTCTTGATGCCGCCGGCCACACTAGGCTTCCCCCCTCCTTAATTGCCCCATTAATCCCTCACCCATTTGAAATTAAAAATTATTTTTAAATAAAACTCCCTCCCAAATTTCAAATCCTGAAATTTATTTCAGGATTTATTATTAAAACTCCTCCCTCTCCTCTCTTGAAACCGCCGGCCTCCCCCTCTTTAGCTCCCCATTAATTCCCCAATTAAGGCTTTAATTCCATTTGATTTGAAATTCAAATTTCAAGTCAATTCCCTCCCAATTACTCAAAACTAAAATTAAACTTCAGTTTTTGATTAATCTCCTCCATAATTTTCTAAACCTAATTTCTCCAAACCCTAGCCATTTCCCCTTGTACCCGCCGGCCTCACCCTCTCTCCTTGGGAATCCCGCCGCCCCCTCCTCTCCCTCTTCCGTCCTCAAACACCACAATTGCTCTCCTCTCTCCACCTCTTTTCCCCTCTTCATATTGGAATTCTTCCCTACGTCAAGCATGCATGGCGGATCCAGAATTTGAGTGGGGTCTTGTATTCAACGCCGACGGAAGCCTCAACATCCTAAGATCTCCGTTTTTCAACGTGGGATTTGAAGACGACGCCACCGTTGGAGAATATTTGGAGCGAGTTGTTCCGACTCTTGCAAGCGTCATCGACCGCCAACTTTCAAACTACAATTGGAGCATCGTCGGCAACCCACTACCTCCATCTCCACCGGCTATCTCTCCCCCAACGAAATTCTTCAGCGCCTTCTCTCTAGTGGTAATATCCTTCATCATATGGGTCATCTTTCTCCGCTAAAAGCCTACAAATAATTGAGTGAGACGACCCTTGAGGTGAACCTCTCATTGTTAAGCGTCTGATTTTGTTAATTGTACTTTGCATTTAAATTTCCTTGAACTTTGAAAAAATTGTTTTGGTTATTTTCTATTGCACGTCTTTGGGCCTAAGCAAATTAAAAATTTCAAATTCTTAACTCACTTTTATGTGCTAGCATTAAATTTAAATGAGCAAAGCTTTAATCTTTTTTCTTTCTAATTTCTAAAAGTAACTCCTAGTGGTTTCACATCAATTTCCTAAAAGGGGGGAGCGTTTAGTAACTACGCAACGCTTAACCAGTGAATCACAAGTCACCACAATTTAATAAGTAAGACCACAGGAAATTTTATTTTAGAATTGATGACCAGCATATATTTATATCATGACAGCACAAATAAGCTACTTAACGATTCAAACTGTATAAAGTACATACTGCATAACATCATAGATTTGAATCAGTTTCTTATGCTTATATGCTGATTTTACCTTTTATTTTGTGGGTATCCACTAAAGTTCTCATGCAACCAAGCTTAAACTGTTGGTTGGGAACTTAGGCTTCTAATTAAGAGGCCTTCAATTTGATATTAAATCTGTTCAAAGTCCTAAGAAAACTATGATAGTCTAGGACCCGTGCTTGTCATGGAATCCATTTTATATAATCAATAGACAAACTTAGATAAATATGAAACTTTTGGATTGAATTGGACACACACAAATAGTCTGAGGACTATTTTGAACTTTTCTCCTTTCTTTTTAAACAATTCATGCCACTCTTATAGTATGTAATTTGACAAAGTTTGTGTGTTGCCAAGAGAATAAGTGAACTTGGGGATGTCCTTGGTGCCAAGGGTATGTTGCAATGAGGATTAGCAAAGGCAAAGCAAGCGGGTGTTGGCGAAGGGGGCGAAGGGGGAGAAGCGGGCGCGATGCAAGCGAGTGCCGCCTGTACGGGGTGCGGACACGGGAGCAGGTGAGGGTGCGGGAGCGGCCAAGTGGTATCAAGCGCGGGTCCAAGTGTGATCCTTGCAGATGCAAGCGTGGGAGGGACAAGGGAGAGATTGAGCGTGGTCGAGTGCAGAGTGCTACGGGCGAGCTAGGCAGCGCAAGCGCGGGATCGAGATAGGGCACAAACGCGGGCGAATGCAAGTAGGGGTGCAATTTAGAGTCACGGGTCGGGTTCGACTCGAACTCTAAACTGACCCGACACTATTCGAGTCAACCCAAACCTGACCCGTTTTTGTAAGCGGGTCGCTTTTCAGACCCGAACCCAACCAAATTCGGGTCCTGGTCAACACGACATGACCCGAATGACTCGGGGTCGACCAAAAATGGCTAGTTTCAGGTCAAACGGGTCAATCTCCAATTTTCAGGTCAAAACAGGTAAATCTCGGGTTTCCATGTCAAAATGGGTCAATTTCATATTTTTGTGTCAACCCGAACTCAACCTGGTTTTTAAAACGGGTCGATTTGTTGAACCCGAACCTGACCCGTTTTGGGTCTGGTCAAGATTGGGTTTGTGTCACGTTTTCGGGTCGTGTCAAATATTTGACACCCCTAAGCACGAGATTGCTGCAGGCCGAACCCCGGGTCATTTTTTGGTTGATTTTGGGTTTACGGGTCAACCCGAACCCAACCCAATTTTAGAAACGGGTCAGAAAATGAAACCCGAACCCAACCCATTCGGCAAACAAATCGACCCTAACCCGAAATTTTTCAGGTCAAATCCGGGTCGAGTTTTGGGTCATGTCAAAGTTTGACACCCCTATTTAGATTGTTGACTGCAGCATAAAAAAATGAGAGAATTCAAGCATAATTATACACGCTATCTTTTCTTTGGAATAAAATCTTAAGAAAAAGATGAAAATTCTCTGCCAAAGGTCAACTTAATCACTTGTTAGATATCTAAAAGTTCTGTTTAAACAACTATGAATCTCATAACGCAATGTCTGAAACTACCCCAGGAGATAATCGATAGACAGATAATCCACCTTGTCAAGTTTATCATAGCATAAATAAATAAATAGATTTTTATTGAATAACAGTCGAATTAGAACCCTTTATCTTAATCTATTGATATCAGAAAAAATAGTGAAGGGCAGTCACTAACCTGAAGGACGTGATCAATTCTACCATTCATGCAGCCAGTCAGTCTTTCAATCATGACGGAGCCATATGATTGTTCTTTCTCTTGATTATCTTCGACTGCTTGTAGTGCATGTATATTACCATAAAAATTTTCAAATAGCAAAAGAAATTAATTAAATAAAAGAATAAAAAACCAAAACATGAAATGAGACTTACCTTCCGTAATAACCTCGTCTCTTGATTTGAACACGTTAATCATTTTAACCTATTAATATAGATGTTAGTTTAGAATGCAAAACCTCGCCAAATTAGATCCAGATATCACCTTTCTATTAGAAATATCATGAGAAAACATTTTTGGAACATAAAACAGTATATCACCGTCAAACCACCTTGTGTCTGGACGCAAGCAGTAGCTCCTATATTTATATATATATATCTTTAATGACTTAAATATAAATATTATTAACCCCTTTCTTTTCTAGAACTCTCCATAGCACTTCTCTTGAAACTTTATATTATGCTTTCTCTAAATCAATAAATATCATATGTGGATGCATTTAAAATACCCAAAAAAAAAAAATCTTCCTTATTCTCTATCTTTGATATGTAATGCTAAGGGTGTGGGTGCATTGAGCCATTGGATGATATCGTGGGCTATGAATATCGGGTGAGGGGGTGGCCATGCCTAGGGAAACATGGAAGGGACAGGACCAAGCCGAGTAAGAGGGAAACAGTGATGAGCGAGGTCTAAAGAGATAATAGGGACTCTGGCAAGGTCAAGGGCTATGAGAGGGGCTTATCAAGGCCAACAATTGCATCAACAATAGTGATAGTAATAGTGAAGGGCAACGGGAAGGGGTAAGAGAGTGAGTGTGGTGGCCAAAGAGATGAAGCAGAGGATGCATGAGTTTTCAAAAATCAGTAGATTTGGGAATAAAATCTCACTTTTTCTTGATTTATTCTCCCCAATTAGGGTTTGGGAACATCTAATATCTTAAAAAAATTACATTTTTTGCTTTAAAACAAACACTAAACAAGGTCAAATGCATTAAAAATACAATATACCCCTAATATATGCAACCAATAACCTCTAAAAATGATGTCAAATGTTTGAAAATCATTTTGACCAATATTTATGAACAAAAGCGATGTTCAAGATTGTGTTTAGCATGAAGGAATCAAACATATATATGAGTCTAAAAATGAACTTATGGGAGAGAGTAATAGAATATAAGATAAAAAATTTTGTATGAATTTTGAAGAACCAATTTAGGTTCAAGCTAGGAATCCTAGGAAAATCTGGACAAGGATATAGAATGAAGAAAGGATCCTCGTATGATTTTTATAATTTTATTAATCTTAAGATGTTCTATGATCAAGAACCATAGGAATTGATTAGAAGAGCTTTAAGGAGGAAAGATGTATTTCAAAGAAATGGCACCATCCTATGCAATGCAGGGGGATTGTTCACACCATCCTATGCAATGCACGGTATTGTTTAGTAAAAGATGCTAAGTTTCTTCTTCCCAAAAAAACCAATCATTAATCAAACTAAAAATAAAGGCATTGAAGAAGCCCAAAATCAAGATGAAGAAGAAGCTTGCATTATAGTTCAAAATCTACCTTCAAAGAGTTCAAGCTATTCATCATGGCTTGAGAGCGAGCTGCCACGTCCTCAGTGAATTCCTGTGCACATATTTTCCAGCTTAAATAAATTCGTCATAACAGCAGAACAAATATCTATTTGTAGAGAAACACTTTTTAAACTGGTTTCAGGTATACTCACCTGAAATCCTATATGCAACCGCTTTCCTCCCCGGTGATATGGTATAATGACAGGGCGCTTGCTGATGTATTCTTTGCAAATAAGTGGTTCTACTCTGCATGAAAGTCCAGAGCAAATTCATATAATACATGTCACGATGCTTTAAATAAAGCTAAAAAATCAAAGAAGTGAAACTGAAAACAAAACACCACATGTATGATTGTTCCCAAACATAACGAGTAAATCTATAAATAGTATTCTACTTCAAAAGTAGACTAGAGAGAGAGATGAATTTCCCAAAGAAGATACAATAGACAAACCTGTATGCTACTGGATCAAATGGATGAAAAATATTAAACATCTGTCGGCAAGATGGCATCTCTTCAGAAATATTCTCATTTTGCCAATAATCTTGTCCCTTACCTACACAAAGGGAAATAATTTGAGGAATATACAAACAAAACTAAATTCCATCACACAGAGATTAGTAAGAAAAGCCTACTATATAAACTATAACAGAACGGAAATTTAATCCAAGGGGCAAAACATTAATCTATTAAAATTGGAATTTCTTAAATGCAAACTAAAAAGGTTGAAATTTCCAACGTGTGTATTAGCAAGCAAAGTGAATTTCAAAAACTTAAGTAGCACAGAAATTACCAATGAAGGAAACAAGAAAATCTATTGTCATGCCCCGGGTCTGGAAGATGGTGCATTGCAGTAACATGAGATGTGATTAGGGGTGTCAATTTTTGACACGACCCGAAACCCGACACGGAAAAATCCGGGTTCGGGTCAACCTATTTGTGAAACGGGTCGGGTTCGGGTTCAACAAACTGGCCCATTTCAAAAAACGGGTCGGGTTCGGGTTGACCCAGCAAATCGAAAATGACCCGAAAACCCTCTGCCCGCGTCTTCTGCCCGCCCTACCCCTGTCGAACCCGAGTTCGCGTGCTGCGCCAGTGCACTGAGCCTCCCGAAGCATCGAGTGCCGCCCGAACTCCGGCGTCGAGTCACGTCCCGAAGGCCGAAGTGGCAAACTGGGCAAAGCATCGTGGCGCATGTGTCCCGACTCCAGAAGTGTCGGCCGTCAAGTCGCACGCCGCGCTAGTGCTCGAAGCGTCGCGTGCTGCCGTTGCTGCCGCTGCGCTGTTGAGAGCATTTCAAAAATCCGGGTAGAGTCGTGTCAACCTGGCAACCCGCGCGGGTCGGGTCCGGGTTGAAAAAGCCGACCCGTTTACAAAAACGGGACGCGTTCGGGTTGACTCGTTTAAAGTCAGGTCAATTCGGGTTCGACCCAAACCCGACCCGCTGACCTAAATTGACACCCCTAAATGTGATAAAGTGATATGAAATATATTTTATGCTCAAATAAATAAATAAGTAATATAAAGAGAACATATGCAATTAGGCAATGGATGGACGGTAAACTGTATTTTATTTTATTAACATAATCATAACAAGAGTACATTAATGAAATAGGAAGAGCAAAAATTAAATGAGAAACTAAAAGAAACAAAAAAAAGAAAAAATTAACCAACTCCAAGTATTATAAATAAATGATTAAAAAACTTAAAATATCAAAGGAGAACCAACTACTAATAAGTCTACTCCAATGATGATAGTCCACCCAACACTCGTAAACTTCTATAACTAGTTAAACAAATCATATATTATATGCAAAGGATATTTTTTCTTCACAATCACCTTATTCAACTCTCTGAAGTTGATGCACAATCTCATGCTTCCTTCATTCTTCTTTCACAAACAAAACTGGTGCTCCTCACCATGAAACACTGGATCTAATAAATCTTTTTCATGTAATTCATGTAACTACATCTTGCGCTCTTGAAATTCAATAGCAGCCATATAATACAATTCTTTCGAAATCAAAGCAGTACGCAGAACTAGATCTACAATGAACTTAATCTCCTGAAATTCTACAGTTTATAATACCGTATATGAACTTTCTCTCTGTAAAAAGAAAATAGGTTTTCATATCCTTCATCACATCCCGTGTTATCTGACTGCACGGCCTTTCGAACCTGTTCTGACAATAGCTAGGATTTCCATTAGAAGGCTGTAAAATTTCACTAATCATGTTTTTATACTTTGTTCTATTGTCATCCATAAAAAGTGTTACGAATTAATAAAAGAGCAATAAATAATAATGTATTAAAGCTTGAAAGTATAATAGGATTTTTAAGGTCTTAGATCATATGTGCAGTGTATGATGCCCTAATGGATCAATCAAATAAGCCCCACAGAATTAAACAACATACAAGTCAAAGTTAAAATTTAATCACATAAAATTTAAAAAATCACCAGAGCAGACCGAGCAAGGCACAAAGGCCCACCAATCTCTCCCTCTTTACTAAGAAGTTGGCAGGGAAGACAATGCCTCGGATGTGTTGTATATGTAATTTTTAAGTTGCGTTGTTTTGGGAGAGTGGTTCAATCAAGATGCTCAAGCAGAAAAATAGAGAGATCACCAATCCAAAACAAACTTTAAGATCCATAACATAAATAACATAAAAGATTAATTCAACCTACAAATTATAGCAAACACTGAATCAAAGATTCTATAAAGCAGAGCCAAAAAAAACAAAGAATTAATTCATAAGATCTGTACCCAATAAATAAAAGTAATCATAAACAGCATAGTACATACGCACAGGTGAAATCAAATTAAAATAAGTTATATGATAATTTAGCATTAAATTATTATCACGTGACACAATATGCATGTTAAATTCAAAGAATTGGAGGGGGGGAGGCTTAATTTTATTGCAAAAATTTGTCCCTATTTATAGATCTATACAATATATCTTAATAAATAAATAAATAATTATATAATAATACATAATTGCTCTAATATAATCCTTCCTAAATCAGTCATCTAAATATGGAAGGAGATCAACGTGATCTAGGTGAGCCTCCCATGGATTACCATCTTATCTAGAGGATCAAAATGCCAAGGAACGGCTAGAATTTAATAAATGAGCCTCCCACGGATTCCCATCCTAACATTGAAATAGGTGGCACATAAATTTAGGACAATAAATGCCCCCCTCACAACTAAATATAGTGCACATTTAGAGACCATATTTATATATTTGCTATCCCATGGTAGCCCCACATTTACCTAGCGAATCTCCGAGCAATTACCAAGATGTCATGATAAAGATTTTAATTTGAAGATATCCAACGATGTTCCTAGATATTGATGCAAGAGAGAAGTAAACTTCTTCATGTAGATATGCATACATGCAGATTGATCTTTAGTTTGTATAATATTTTTTAACTTAAATAACTCTTCAAAGTTATGCCATAGTCTATGTCTGACCAGACAGTCCGATGCTAAGTTATTGCATCAATTGCAACAACTTATTTAGTCAGTAGTTATCATATACCCAACATTTTCTGCATCATGTACTTGGTATGAAGAATCTAGTTCAATGATTTTTTTTTTCAAAATTGAATATAAAACTCTTTATATCCTATGATTTCTATGACTTGGCGAAGGATTGACTCACTTTGAGTTTATCAGAGACTTGAGCAAAATTAACATGCATAATGTCCTATGCTTTCTGCATTGAACTTATCAAAGGATGTGCATATATGGCCCATTCATCAACCTTATATCACGTCAATGACCAAGGGTCATTTGTTCATGCTAGTTCACTTTACTGCGCCTTACTATGGAAATAGAGCAGGATATTCACTACATTGTTGTGAAGGATGATGAGGACCATTTAGTGTGTGATGATGTGGCGTCTGATAATGAGTGGTTCATAGATGATGAGACAGATTTGTCATTATCAGACCTGCAGCTAAAGGATCTAAGTGTGGATGTCTTGAGAGGCGAAGCAGATCAAGTGGGCACATCCACTAATACCACACCACACACATCCACTAGTACTGCAGCACAACAAGCAAACAAATGTATCCCACAATTTTTTATGTGCTATTACATTTAAAATATATGCAATAACAGCATACTAATCATTCTTATTGAACAGGAAAGAGAAAAATGGGTAAAATTGAAGATGGTGAAGATTTGGCATTCATAGATACAATTGGAGATGAAGATGCCACCACTGAAGACTCATTTAGTGATGAGACATGATTGGATTTTATAAGTTCTTTATTATTTGTACTTTGGGAGTTCTGATAGACTTCAATTTGTAGTTTTGTACTTTGAATTATGCTATGAGATACATATATTGCATCCATTTTATTGTTTTCCACTAAGTTCACTTCTCATTTAGATGTTTTTATTGTATCATAGACTCTTACTGTTATTTACCTGCTAGAATACTTAAATTTGCATTTACGAAATTATTTGTCTATGAGGCTTACGTCTCACGGACGAAAAATGCCTCGAGACTTATTTACGCAATTTTAAACCTTGATAGCAATGATAAGAGCCTCGGCATGTTGGCATCTCGGTTCATTTGAGATACCAGATTCAGCCTCCTTACATGAGTAAGGAGAGAAATGTGTATAGTATGAGCTTCAATGGTTTGAGGCGCGATCCACCTGATTTGAACATTGATGGTAAAACTTTGCCACAAACAATCACCCTTATGTGTCAGGAGCAGAGAAGGCAACATGATCAAAGGAGTTGAATTGGATAGTGGCTCCAATATTCACAATGGCATTAGAGAAGCAAATACACCCCCTAAAAGTTGAACAATGAATTAAATATTATGCAAGACTAATTTGCATAAATGAAAGATGAATATCATAAATCACCCCACGATCTAAAAAAGCACAACTAAAATGAAGAAATGTGGATTTTTTGTAAAAGCGTGGACACCATGCAACTATTAGGCAACCATGGAATCAGCAATAGAAGCAAGTTAAGCTGACCTAAATGCACCCCAAGTGGAGGCACAAAGGTTCTCAAATATTATATTTTAATTTGCATGATATCAATGAAGTAACTTTTTAGAAATATTAAATTAAATTCATATTGCCCATGGCAAGGAATCAACCCGTAAAACATCAATTTGAAAAATCTCAGGCAATACATCTATTAAATAACATGCAACAAACTATTTCCAAAATAACTAGATATAGTTAAAATTCAAAAAACCTATGACAATCAAATAAAAATATCTAGAAAACACAATGGCAATCATAGAGCATAACATCCATCAATGAGCTTCATGAGGTTGGAAAAATGTATAACTAATTGAAGAAATTAATGAAACCCAGAACGTAAAAAGTAACAAACAGAATAAATTCAAATCAAATATTAGAAATAATTTTAGAAAAAAATATTCACAGAAGGGGAAAGAATCTAGCACATGAGACTCATTTAATCACATAGTAAAATGTACCATAACATATTAAAAAGAAGAATTAGCATCGATTTTTATTCTGTCTAAATAAAACGATAATTTTACACCTAGTAGGACTTAAACCCATAATAGCCTGATTAGATGTCAAAATACATTAAACAAAAAAAAATTAAGAAAAATTTCACAAACATCGTCATATTTTACCTATGCCTATGCGGATGTTCCGAAGGGAAAGGAAGACACCAAGCGGAGATCCAACAGCAAAAAATGTATCAACCTGGGACGTCGAACAATCAGCACAGCAAGTATCAGAAACTGTAGAAAACCCATAAACATTCTACATTGTTATTCTTATTAGCAATCATGAGCAAAAAACTAGTCCAAGCTGAAGGTTCATATACATTGTAAACTAATTGCATATGAAAGGTGTGCATCCAAGAGTCAGAAGACATTATAATAAAAAAAAATAGAAATCAAGTTAGTGAAAATAATTAACACGAGATAATAATTAACAAGAGAGAACAGCAAATTATAACAGAGAAGAGTTTACTATGTATTTCACCTTAAAATCAAGTTTAGTATATCTAATGTACGGTGTGTAACTCTTCTTTGAGGCATCTTGTTCATATTTTTCCAAGGACGATTGATCTTTGCAACATCCAACTCTATTTCCTACAATTAATGAACCGGTAAAATATGGTTCAAGAAACAGAAACTGATGGTAACCAAAGCTTTCCAACACCGATGGCCTTGGGAGATCAGCATTAGTTGGTTTAAGTATGAAGGATTACCATTCAAAGCAAATTTTTCCTTGCTAATATCTCCATTATTTTTAGACAACGAGCAATAGATTTCTTGTTCAAGTTCTGCAATCCTTGTCCGAAGAGACTTCACCTGGGAAGTAATAATTAATAAATAACTATAAGTTTTCAACCCACTTTTCCCACCAAAAATAAATAGAAAATGTGAATTTTTGGCAATTTAAAGATCAACTGACTAGAAATATTTGTGATATCAGCACTAACAAATCATAAAGGTTTACAAAATTGCAGTGTAGGCAGTGCAAGCACCATAAGGTTCGAACTTCCAATCGAATAACTACCTCTTCTCTCAGCTGGGAGATAAGATTGTCCTTGCCAGTAACATCTCCAACCAACAGATCAGCAGTTTCAGCGCCATTTTCTCCTGAATTTTCTTCAAGAATATCTAAATTTGCATCAGACCCCTTTTCTGCAGTATAATATGTACTTCTAGATTTCATATTAGATTTTTTGGCACCAGCATCCATTGATGGTGCATTATCATATTGCTCCTTATCTGAAGGTAATTGAACAAAACCGGGAGATTCACCATAAACATTAGAAAAACCAACAGATTTCAAGCAATCATCAGTCAAATTTTCTCTGGGAAGAGGAGCTGCGGTGTGACAAGGAAGCTGGTCCAAGGCACCACAAGAAAAACTGGTTTCATCAATCTCCTGAACAGACGCATCATCATAAATAAGGGAAGGGCAGTGCACATCAATTTGTGCTTCCTGCTCAGCATCATTTCTCATGTACACAGAATCCATAGGAGTGGGAGAAATTGGACTTTCTTGATGACAAAGGATGTCATAAGATAAAACACTTCCTAAGGAGTGCCCATATATGGAAACCTGTCAAAGAACTTAACGAATTTATAAAATTAAACTATGAATTTTTCAGGCACAGAAAAAACAACCAAAGTACTAAAGCGATCAAACCTTCCCATTGTAGAGCGGGTTTCTTTTCAAAAACTTAGCATACAATTTATTTAACTGAGTGGACACCTGGACAGGAAATATTAAATGTCAAACAAAGGATAGTAACTTATTATGATAAGCAGATATAAATTGTGATGAAAATAAGTATATCAAGCTATTACAAAACATATTATTGAAGGAAACAACTACTAATAAGTATGATAATTCACATGATATGTACCATAGTAGCATATTTTAAAGTTACTTAGAAATGGTATCATTTTTCGGCCCAATCTCACCCAAAAACTAGAAGCAAGAAAAGGCTTGAATGAAAAATTACATGAGCTGTAGGAGAAAATTACAATCAAGTAATCAACAAGATGTTAAGATCTTTTAATTCTATGTGGAATCTGATTGTGTCGATCAATAGGATTGTACTGTTGACTCAAACCTCAATTCCGTCGGTTGAGCTCGCTAGGGGGTTGTAGGGGGGCTCCCACTACTTGGGAGCGGGAATACAACCATATAGCATTGTGGCGCTACAGTCTTTGGTTGGAGACAAAGGGCAAAGCGTTGCGGTGCTATAGACTGCAATGCCACCACATTGCAGGGTGGCTCATAGACAGAGAGAATCGGTGCGTCACTCCGAACACCAACGCTAAGAGTCAGACTAGGCGGTTTTCTTTCTCTTTTTCATGTTTAACTTGAGTTGTTGTCGTGTTGCATCCCTTTGTGTAATTTAAGTGTACCTCTTTGTCTATTCTATGAAGATAACAAAGAGTGAAGTGAAGTGAGACAATGAAAGAGAGATAAGAGAAATCTGTACAATTCATCTCATTTTCATTGTAAATTTCTTGAAGTGGCATGGCTTCGTGATTTTTTTTTCTTTTTTGAGTTTTTCCACGTTAAATCCTAGTGTTCATTTATGTTATTTTCTATTCTTGCTTGTTTCGTTGTGTGGTTTATTTCTCAACAAGATCCGTCAATGCCAACTAAAAATATTATATAGAAATGCAAAAATAGACAAAAACCTTAAAAAAATAGGGGGCCACCCAATTCAGGTTGATCAATACTCGGGCAACAAAGCATCCTTGCATGTGACTTACCAAGTCAAAATTTAGGGTTGCTAATTGATTTGAACAAACTTTAGCTAGGGGAAGACATGGATTTATAGGATTTTAAAATGTGAATTATTTCTGGTAATTAAACTATAAATTCACTGAAGGTTTTGGCCAAAGAAATTGGAAAAGTCCTTCAAAAGGGACACATGTCATCACAATCAACATTGTCAATGTCATCAACAGAAATTCCTTGGTCTAACGTTCAAGGTTATCTCAAATCTTTACAACACTTTCTCGACTTATCATAAAACATAAACCAAGTCAAACCTAAGATCAGTAATGACTGTTGCCATAATTGTCAAGGATGAGTGCGAGAGTCTACAGTTAGGTTTATAAAGAATAAGATAAGCTTTGTAAATGCTTCAATGATTATTCATCTTCACTGACCCAACTATGCAAATTACGGCGCAGTTTAGGAAGTTACACCATCCAGCTTCCATTTCAATGTAATGGTTTTCAGAAAATCTAAATACAAATTCTTTTGGAAAAATACTGCATTGCCAGATAAAGGAGTAAGAGAAAGGCATTTGAATATATTTCTTCTCAAGCCGTGGCCAGTTTAAAAGAGTAAACCATTATAAAGTTATTCAGCTTCCATTTTATTATAATGGGTTTGGGGAACCAAGAAACAAATTTCTTCGGAAAAATACTGCATTACCAGATAAAGGAATAAGAGAGAGGCATTTCAACATTTTTTTTTAATTTCCAAGCAATGGCCAGTCTGAATTGTTAGCTAGGTTTGAATTGTTTTAGAAAGTTAATCTAATAATGAGGCTGAGCTTGAGCGAAACTCACATCAAAAAAGAAATGAAAAGAAAAAAGTAACTCAATCATATTCCGTATAGATAGGATGAAAACTAAAAGGTGCTTCTTCTACTCCCAAAAGAGGCATTTTAAATGTGAAAATATGTATATGATGCATTTACATTTCTGTTCTAATTTTGTATTGAACAATATTCGTATTTTCGTATTTTCTATTTTGTGTTTTTTTTTAGGCTATCCAATGATGGAAGACATCCGGTGATCATGATTGGTAGAAAATGGTTTAAGTTTGCCTTCTTTTGGTTTGCCGGTTTTATGGGTCCAACATATCCTTGTGCTATTTGGTGGAGGTAGATGTGCAGTGGCTGTTTTGTTTCGGTTTGGGCTTTGGTGGTTGAGATCTAAGTAGTGCAAGCTCATTAATATCTTGTGAAGTTGAGCTCATTATAAGCTGAAGTTTTAGTACTACTTTATGGCAGATTTTGGTGAGTGGAACTTGCCTTTTCCTATTCTTTTTTCTCTTCCTTTTATGGCTGTTTGGAGAGCTGTGTCTTGTGGCATTGGGAGAGGAATAGGCTGGAATTTATGCAGCCGTGGCTGCTTGGGGTGCCTGTTCGTTTTCTGGATTCCTTGGGCCTGCTGTTCCTTTATTGTTTCGGTGCTTTTCCCGTGAATCCTGGCTGTTCCGTGGCTGGCTGTTGGTCCCGTGATCTGTTTCTTCTCTGTTTTCTGGAAAGATGCTGGCTGCTGCTTTGGAACTTAAGTGTGTCTTTTGGCTTTTCCTATCCCTAAAGTTTATTGGAGGAATTATGGGTGCATTGGCTGTTGGGCTTTCTTCTTTGCTTATAAATATGAAATGCTTTGACATAGAAGGGGGTTGATTATTTTGAGAGCTAAGTTCTTAAAAAAACCTGAGGGTTTCTTCTTTGGAAGAGCTTGAGAGCTTTTTCCATTCTCCTTCTCCCCTAGGAAAGCTTGCGAGCTTCTCCTCTTTCTTCTCGGTCTTCTAACCTCCTTCTCTACGCAAGTTCCACTCCATCTGTATCTTTCTTCTGGTTCCGTTGGCAAGTTTTGTGGGCAGTTTTGGAGACATTTGCTGGAGGAGTTAAAGGACGTTGGACCCCTTTTACCGTGGTAGACCGTTGGTTTGCTTTCTTAAACCTTATTTTGCTTATTATCCTACTTTCGATACATGTGAGGAATCCACTTGCAGGATGTTCTGAGGATAGTGTTTTTTTTTAATTTTATTTTGTTCTTTTGTCAGCTTTCTTTTGTTCTTGGTTTGTTTGGATGTCAGTGGTTCCTAAACTGATTTTGGAAGTTCTATTGTCTATTTTGTTCTCCAAAAGGTTTGCTAAGTAATTAAGGTGTGTTTTGAAATCTCTTTTGAGTTTCTTTTGTTTTTTTCTTTCGGATTTGCGTTGTTTTGCTTACATCAGTATATTTGCACAGATCCTAAGCTTGCATCACAAAAGATTTCTAAGAAAGCTAAGATTGCTTTTAAAATTAAATATTTCCCCCAAAAACACCCATCTCCTTGTCAGATTTGAGAAATTAAATAATAGTAGAGGTAACGCGTAAATTACTTGAGGACTTATAAATTTTGCATCATCACACTTATAAGTGCATAAAGTTCAAGTTTTAGCTTGTAGATCATTCAGGTTCTATAATATCTCAGATAGATCCATATTATTGGCATTTTCATTAGGGTTTTGATAAAAATCTATTTCTTCCACCACATACAAGTGAAATCTATCGTTTTTTGCTATAAGAAATAGGAGCTATTATTTTTTCTGTTGTTCGAATGTAATGGCTGGGAAGCACGTTTCACCTTAATTTAATAGCAATGCTCTCATGACTTTCAAAGGCATATAAGACGCACTATATTCTCAAACAACCTCAAGAAATTGAGCAATAGATGACCAAAATGATGTAACTAAGAAAGTTTGCACACCGAATCTATAATATATTGGCAGTATATAGGACTCATATAATATAAAACATCATGAGCTGTGGCGCTTAGTGTAACACGAAGACCCCGAACACCATCCAATGTAATTTTATCCACAGCAGTTTCGCCACTGAGTTTCAATCCTTTTCGCCACTGCACAATAAAAACAAAGAATTATAATAGCATAGGAATAAAAGAAAAGGCAACAAGAATGACACAAATCCAACCAAATAGACCCAAATTAAGAATGGAAGCAAGCATTACAAAAGAAAACAATAACGCCAAAGATTAGGAACTATGAAAGCCCTTAAACTGAACGAATTAAACTTGACTATTATATTAAAAAACCGGTTTGGAAAGCAAATTAACAAGAGGATGTTCCAAACTACAAAATAGACAACTAAGCACAAAATAAATGCCAAAAAAGCACCCGATTATACTTACATAACTAATAATATATTTCAAACATTGTAGTAAACTACTCCAATTGCAATATCATACAGTATTTTGCTTCCCACCATTAGGCCAGTTTTATTGGGAAAACCTTCCAGTCATGCCATTCCTGAAGTAATTTACATTAAAAATAAAAGCATTTTCTCTTTAAGTTTGCCAAGATGAAATTAAAACCAATTTCATGTTAGTTACAAAACTTTGATATTGTCCTCTACTTCATCTTTTTGGTAAAATAACATTTTATTAAATAAACTTAATAACAAAAGCAATTATTTTAGACCATACAGTTTCAAATATAACCTTAAGTTATAAAGGACTACAGACTACCTTTATGGTTTCAATGTACGGCTAATTAGCTCAACACTCATATAGTCCCTACAGTCAACACAATTATAGATATCTCCTTATTTCCAAAATGTTAGCACTAAAATGAGACTTTTCACATCTAGTAGTAGAGTTGCCAATCTAAACAAGCAGCAAAAGAGAAAATAACCCTAATTGTACTCATCTTAACAACCGGAGCAAAGATTTCTTGATAATCAATTCCATAAGTTTGAGTGAAGCATTTTACCACAAGTTTGGCTTTGTATCGGTTGATAGTTTCACCAATTTTTTATTTCACATTGAAGATCCATTTGCAAATATCAACTTTCTTCCCCATAGAAAATCCTGAGAGCATCCAAGTATCATTTCTTTCAAAGGCCTAAATTTATTCATGGACTGTATTTCTCCATTCAGGAATTTTAAAATGATTTGAATATTGTTAGGAATTTTCAAGCTAGAAAAATATATAATAAAGTCACAAAGCTTAGAAGATAATTAGTCAAACGACACTAATGATTGATTGGGTAATTAGAGCTTTTCTTGAAAGAAGCAATAAGCATGTGTACAAAGGCAGCAGTCTAATACTTTGATGAGGAATGTCTAAAAAGGCATAGCAGCCGAAGCTTTGATAGAAATAGAGTAGATCAATCTATTTATGAGATAGGCATGAGTGAGTATTGGTAAAGAGTTTTAAATTTTAAAATTCATGATGGCATAGGAATAATAACATATACAACGGTGGGGATTCCACAGACCCCCACCAAGTAATATTTTAGGACATTGCTATGGATCATAATATATCGAGCAAACTCATGTGATTTTGAAGTCATGGTAGGAGGCAACACCATAGGAATATCTTATTTCCTAAATCATTTCATGTTTAAACATCACCATGGTTTAAACAAGAAATCCTTAGATGAGGTAGTATACGGGTACAGGTGAACGAACTATGAATTGAGCAATAGCGCAAGCGAGATAGGGGCTTAAGCAAGTGGGCAATCAATAGATCACACATGCCAAAAGGGCTTGAGGAACACATTTGATTTGCCAATGGGAGACAAAAAACTCTAAGTTATTCATGGCGTCAAACTCTATTGTGAACCACTGCCTCAAAGCACTCGATCTTCATGCCCTGCGTATTCACTGTTGACCTCCTTTCTTCTCCACTATAGTTGTTTTCTTTGTAGTCTTCCTTCTTAATCTCCTACTTCTTTCAGTTAAGGCTCATCTGCTTAGCCAATGCATAAGCGGGCTACAAGTTTGCATGCTAGAGGGTCATGAGTTGTGACACTACATAGGGCAAGAAAAGTTGTTAGCTCAAGGTCACAAGCCAATCAACAAAAAAGCATGAGATCATTGTGATAAAACATGCGATCAGATGAATAAACCAGCATGCCAAGTGTTTTTGAGAAGCAAATCACAAGTCATGAGACCGATAAGGCTCGGGCAAATGAATGACAAGATCTCACAAATCTTCATAAGGATAGATCCCCATAGGGTCTTCAGAAACCTCCGAAGATAAAGGTAAGTCTCATTTTTGTCAAGCAAAATCAAGCTGAGATGTGTCATCTTCACGAGAGGAAAGATGAAGATTGACTTAAAGTCATGGCTTTGAAACCATGTTAAAAAAAAGAAAGAAAGAACATTGCATACTTCTTCCTATTCTAATGGGTTAAAAAAAAGGCAATAACCTAATTAATAACAATCATTTCAATATTTAAAAAAATTCTTTTGCATAAAGAAATAGCAATTGATGGACTATATATGGAAAACAAAATAGTGAGGAATTGCCAAGATGGCTAATCAGATTGTTGGTGATATCTACATCCAAAGCAACAGATTGCCAAGGTGGCACTAGAGGTGCAAGAACTACAAATTGCTAAGGTGGTGCTATAAGCGTAGAAGCTAGAGATTGCCAATATTTAAAAAAATATATATGAATGTACGAAAAAATTAATTGACTTGTAAATGGGAACTAAGATTGGAATAAAGAACAAAAGAACAAGCAAGTTCTACAATTAAACAACTAGTCAGTATATGATAGCTAAAGTTTATGAAACCTCTTCTGGAAGTGTTTAAAAGTTAAAACAAATCTAATCAAGAATAAACTGTAAAGAGAACATCAAAATCAAAAGTCTAGATAATCCATAATAATGCATAGATTGCTCGGTACACCAGAAAGCATAGAGTATAAATAAAATAAACAATACGTCAACTAAATTCTACATTTTCTTTTCTATTCCTCAATCATAACACTTTCTCAGTTTTGTAATTGAAAACATTGCATTAAACACAAATTGCAAGTTGAATGGGACCATTCCCTTTACACATAAATAAGAGAATGTACGGTCAAATGTATGATTAGTTTATTTGATACGAAGGATATGTACAGCATTACCTGACAAGGGATTAACAAAACTCTTTGGGTGCAACGTTGATGTGTAGTTAAGTGCCTTTCAGCAAGACTAGCAGTTATCCTACGAAAATCACCAACATCATCAACCAAATTGGCTTTCTCCAGCCTCTGTCCAATACCATGAACCATAAAGACTAGATGACCGACTGGAACCTGAGGAAAAAACAAGATGATATAAATCTATGAATAAAATACATGCTTACAATTTGAAAGTCGAAATTTATCTTAAACAATATGTATCAATTTGACTAAATCCAAACCAACATTAATATTATAGACACCATTTAAAATTCAACCTGGGTAGATCCATAATATATACTTAGATTGGCAGGCTGCACAATTTAGCACATTGCATTCCAATAAAAAGGATTAAATAATAGCTGAAATGAACCTTTTATGAGTCATAAATTGTCCTAAAAGGGTGTGCCCTGCACAGCTTAGCATTTTCAAACATGCAAATATATTAAGGACCCATTTGGGAGTTAGTAGAAACTTTGTTTAAAAGATTATGAAATTTACTATATACCACCTTTTGCTGATATGAAGCTAAAGATGGACATTAGTCCACAAACCATCCAATGTAATGATTTTATTTTCACACACACAACAAGTGAAAGCTAAATCACAATTAGATCCAAGGTTGGTGCATTGATAAGGATCATAAAAAAGCAGATGCAGAGTGCTTGGTACACTGTAGAATCAGTGCATGTCACTTAGCAAATCAAAGGTGCCATATGTCTAGTGACATGACAATCAAAGACTAACATCATGAAACTAACCCTGCCCTAAAGCTCAAGGGTTGATGAGCAAGAGACCAATAATTGGAACCTGACGAAGTGATGCATGTTGATTAGGTAGCCAAATTTAAGTGCCCAACGAATAGCAAGACATCTAGTTCTTAACAATAAGTCAACCTATGCTCGTGGACAGGTGATAATGCCTACCTAACTAATGTGAACATGGTGGCCTGGCGCTTGACAGAAAATGATCTTATACCTAGCAAAATGGCTATAAATAGACTGGAAATTGGCATTCTAGCACCCAATGAATTGAAACCCAAAGCTAATGAATTTAATCAACAAGCTGATCCAAGGAAACCAACCACTCAGGATTAACACCGCTGCCATTGTAGATCTCCTCTAAAAAAATATTCCTTAGTATTGTATGTTGTCCTCACTAGTCAGAAAACTCAAAATTCTTCAATAACCTAAAATTTTTTCATTCATGAACCATCTATTGAGAGATCTAGATTGTTCAAAATAACGCATCACATGACAACAATAGATACTCAATTTAAATTTTCATTAAGAGAATCAAATAATTATTCCATGAAAATGCTTTGAAAGCCTTATCTTGCCATAGGCATCTGCTTAGCTTAACATTTTCTTAAACTATCCCTCCAAGGAACTTGCTTTTAGTCAAATGGACTTTTCCCAGTCCAAGGTTTCCTTAAACTCAACACTAACAACTGTCTATATTTTTTTAAATGGTGATTGAGGGGAGGTTTAAATCTGAGCTGCACATGTTTCTTTGTTGGCTTCTTCTTCTACTTGCACAGCCAACTATCCTTCATGTTGAGCTTGAAGGTGATGCGAACATTCGACGGTAAACGTTAATCAAAAGAAGAGACAAAGATCAATAGCCGAGATCCCTCCATTTTATCTTAGTTTATTAATTGGATTTTATATTTAATTATGCATTTTCTATTTTTATCCTTACTTAAGGGTCTTGTCTTATGTAAGCCCAAGGGGCAAAGTTGACTTTTAGTTTCTTTTAAGGCCTATATATAGAGGTCCTTGCTTTTGTATTAGACGATGATGGATTATTAATAAAAAATAAATTTGACTGCACGCTTGTTCTTTGGAAGAACTTTGGTGAGATCCCTATGTGAGGGAAGCGTAATACCAACCAGCCACAGGATGTGTCCGGGCTCGTGGTTGAAGACCCTAGGTGAAGGCATCGCATCACCCGTCAGCCGCAGAATGTGTTTGGGCTCACGCTTTATCTTCTTTTCCTATCTCCTTCCCTCTCTCTTTCTCTACCAGCCATCTTCTTCCATTATTCCTCTCTCTAAATCCCCCACCCTCTCCTTCTTTAACCGCTGGTCTTCTACCACCCTTCCACCCTCCCTCCACCCAATGTTTAAAATTGCGTATTCGAGTATTGAGGCATTTTTCATTCGTGAGACGAGGCGTAAGCCTCAAAGCGTTTTGAGGCGTAAGCCTCAAAATCAAAAGATTGTGTAAACATCAAATGATAATTTTTTTATATACTAATGAGTGAATAATATAAAACATAAAAAGGCATAAGATATGAAGTGAAATTAAAATATCCCAATAATATGACAACATGAAATATAGTTCAACTCAAAATTCTATCTTTCTCAAATCCCAGTATTCTTTTCATTAACATATAATTCAAATTTCAAAAAATAAATAACAATGACATATCACATAAGAACTCATAAGTCATCAGCACCGTCATCACTAAGGGGTTCTTCATTTAAATCATCATTATGATGAACTGCTCTCTCCCCTTCCTCCTCTCCTATAAATTCTAATGTCGGGCATTTACTTCAAAATTTATGTAAGTTTTAATATATATAGCATGAGGCGTAAGCCTCACGCCAGTGAGGTGAGGCGGGACTCAAGGCGGGCCTCAACCAAATAAAGGCACAAGCCTCATAAAAAAACTCGAGGCGTAAGCACCGAGGCGTTTTTTACTGGAATTGCGCAAAGACGGGCCTCATATTGCGCAATTTTAAACCATGCCTCCACCACCTAGCCGGCAACCCCTTCCCCACCAAAATCCACACCTACTCCCTCTTCCCTTGGGTCCACCCATTCAAATCTTGCATTCAAAACCTTTCAATTTGAGCCCTTCTTATTTTGAGAACAATTTAATTTCATATTCAAATAAATTTGAATTTTGAATGTGTTTCCTAAAATGAGAAACCCTATTTTAAGAAAGTTCCTAAATTCATGTCCATTTGAATTTTAAATAGGGCTGGAATTAAATCAATCCTTCCTAATTTAAAATTCTAATTCAAGCAAGCATTAATTTCCCTCTCTTAAACCCCTCCCCTCCTTGAAGTCGTCGGCCCCTCCTCATCAACAAGTTTGAATTTCAAATTCAAATAGTCTCTTGATTACTTTCCTAAATTAATCAATTGTTAATTTGGAAAGCTTCTTAAATTGAATTCAAACAGATTTGAATTCAAAAACCTTTCTGGATTAATAAATCCATTTTAGGAAGCCCCTCCAATCCCTCCAAATCTGGAATTAATTTCAGATTTAATTCTCAATCCTAATTAATGCTTGATTCACATTCATTGAACCTAGACACCTCATCCTTCCCTCTCACTTGGCCGGCCCCTCTCTCGCCTCTATCCTAATGATTTCTTTCCTAATTAAAGGCCCCAATTAAGGCGATAATTAATTCCTCTCTTCCCTCCCTCCTTTCTTGTTTGAATTTCAAATTCAAATCCATTAATTAAAGTAAATCTAAGATGGAATTTTAAATCTTTAATTGTTATTACCCCTCCGTTCTACATCAAAAGGTCTTCTCAATGGCCTACACCTTAAATTAAGGTAGAATTAAACTCTCTTTCTTAGGACCTTGGTTGACTAAGGTGGTCAATGCCCTAGTGCCTTCATTTTAGGTTCAAACAACTTATCAACATTGTGCCTTCACCTACACTTATATAGGGATCTATCTGCTTTGTTGATTTGCTTGTATACAAGGGCTGCTCACAAGATAAGATTTAACATTATCTTCTCCAAATGATTATTCTCTATCCTCTTCTCATGTATACATGAGTAATGATTCCGAAACATCAGTTTCTATTTGGGACTTGTAAATTCTCTATATATAAAATTATACTACACTAATTTGATAAAAAAAGCTTATGTAAAACATACCTGAGAACAGTAGTCATCCATTTCTTCCTCCATTTGTTGGCGCTGCTCATCCTAAAGAATTGTTACATCGATGGCATTTGTCATTAAATGGGTGGAAAACTCAAAAAATATATATTTTCTCAAGAAGACAAGAAATCAAGCGTGTTTCAAACTTTCAATTAATATAGCATCTTGTAAGTTCAGAGTAATTCAAATCATTAAACAAAATCACCTCTCACGTTGACACATTTCTAGAATTCAAACACAAGCGTCTATTCTTTGTAGTTTTCCTCCAATTCTGAACAATATGGCCATGCATTCCAATTTTAAGAATAAAGCAGAATAACAAGTACAAATATTAAATACAAACAACGACATCAAGCTTTCATTCCACTATGCAGGGTCGGAAGTACAAGTATTAAATCTATTTGCAAAAATTATCAAGCAGCATGCTTGTTAATGATCTTTGCAAGCAGAATGTATATTACAGCTGAAATTTATCACCAGTGGAGTGAATAAATAATGAATAGCAATGGCATTTGTTCAAAAGTCCAAAACTTTGAAACTGTTCAATAATCTAGAACTAAGCAATGGCACTTGGATCATTTATTATTAATAATTAATTAATTCATTAATTTGTATAGTATATAAATTATAAATGAAGTATATAATTAATTTAGCATTACTAATTAAAAATAAATGTTATTTACACTATAAAAAAATTATTAAAAAATATATTTAAAAATATATAGTTTATATTAAAAACTTAAAAAAATAATAACTTAAATTTATTTAGTCCCGCGTCACTTGGGAACTTCTTTTTAGTAATGCTTATATTATTTTTGAGTTTGCATGGGTTAAGAACTCATATTGAATGATGGAGTCATGACAAAATACTTAGTTGAAATTTCTTTGATAAATAAATATTTTAGGAAATTAAATTTTAAATTAATTTATTGAATTATGTAAATAACTCATTGAACAAGCCGGTTCAAAGAAACCAAAACTGGTTTGCCGTTGAACCAACAATTTTGACCAGTTCACTCTAGTTCAATGCAAAATCAATTTTTATAATAAATCAGACCAACCTTATGATTGGTTCACTATGGAACAGGTCGAACTGGACAGTCTAATCTAGTTTTTAAAACTCGGTATAATCTACAAGCAAGCTAAAAGTAACTAACCTCTCCCCAAAACTATCTTTCAGAAATACAAATGTGAGAAACAGAACAATATAATATTTAGAATCATTAGAAGATATCCCATGCTAGCTATCTAAGTAATTTTTCCCATAATTTTTGCAACCTTCACCAAATAGAACAATAGGCTCCAATACATTAATTATATAACAAATAACTAACCTTTTGCAATTATATTTGCCTTGGAATTTCTCCTAAGTTCATTGCTTGCACACAAACAAGAAATATCTTTAACATGGCTTCGCATTTTTTTGTGAGAACAATCTTCTTTGATCAAAACCTCAAATTACATCTAATACTTGTAAAAATAGAAAAGCATAAAACATCTTTAGTAAAGGATATGATTCTTTGGAATCAAATTATCCAAAGTCAATATTTTTCATCAAATATGACTGATGAAAGTAGCAGTTCAACATAATATAACATATAAAATCAAAACTACAAAATAAACCAGCTAGTGTCAATAGCTACATGGATAAGTTGTGCTATGCCTCTTGTCCAAAACAATCACTAAATGCAGCATGTTTCCTACATAGTAACCTATAAAATTTTTGAAAAAAAAAAACTAACCTGAGTTGGCTTTAGAGAACCGGATGTTTGGAACCCGCGTCTCAATTTAATTCCATTCCCTCGTCCAAGAGTAAACCCAGAGGTGTCAAAGTCCAACCAAGCTTCCCATGTGTCATCCTCCCCTGTGAAAAGAGCATGCAAGCCCTGAGAAAAGACTGAGTTAGTCATTTCAATCAGTTATTAAGCAGACTTATAAAAAATAACACCTGTGTCATTCCTTGCAAATCAACACGGGCAGCAAACAGGCCTGAAGGCTGAAATGTCCGCCTATGCCAAACCTAAATGAATGAACAGGCATAAATTAGAGAGTCAAATACCCATGCAGCTCAGTTGCATCATAAATAGATACGCAAACAGACCAAAAAAATTATAATACAATTCAGAAATATTCTCATAAGTGTGAATAAGCAATAGCATCATGAAGAAAGTCATGGAATAAGCCTTTCCTTTACTGAATGTCATTACCTGAAAGGTATAAGTGACAAAGATGTGAAACGATGCATAATTTGAAGGGTTATTCGGTTTAAAATAAAAGGGGTGTAAGGTATTCCAAATTCAAGGGTTTTGAAAATATTGGTGTCTTCTCTCAAGTAAAAAAAAACAATAAATAAAATTTTAAACTATTTGGAATTCACCCTCTAGTTCAATTTTGCTATATTTAAAAATCATTAAATTTGACTGATTTATAAATAAATAGTAAATTCATTGGCATTCCCCCGCAAGCTGCCAACTGCAACCACTAGCATCCATCACTACTGCCACCCACCGCTCACCACTGGGCACGGCAAGCCACTATCGTCGCCGCCATTGTTGTTGCTGGCCACTACCGCCAACCAACAACAGGTTGGGCTTTAAATTGCATTTATTTTATTTTAAACCAAACAAAAAAAGTAATCATTTATATTTATTTTACACTCATCCAAAAAACTTCAAATATTTTAAGTACATTGTATTCCATTTTACTCTGCTTTCTTTTTTCATTCAACCAAACAGCCCATAAATCAAGTTAGTATTTTGACACAAAATACTAACTTGTTTTCGGTCAAGAATGTTCAAAGGCAGTGTCTTATAGTTAATAAGCTCAAATCAGAAGTGTTAAAAGATTGAAAACGATTTCATACAAAGGAAGTGTAGCCAAAGTCCACAGTTCTATATTTTTTATATTTTCAAAAGCTTGAAGTTCAGCAAAAAAAATATTTTGTCCAAAATAGATGTATTACCTAAGGCAATATTCAAAAGGAATAAATGGAGGACCCATAAATCAGCTAAAATAGTAGCCGATCATAATCAATTTTAAACTCAAATATTTTCTCAGCATATTGTTAGCTATGATTCTCCTGCTTCGGTAAATAAAATAAAATGAAACCTAGTAAGCTTTTTTAAATTATTCACCATTCTTCTTTGAAGACAATTAATATCAAGATAGCATTATCATATGAAAATATGATATCATAGTACAAATTTGGACAAATAGATTGTTCAAGAAAAAAATCTCTAATAACTACCCAAATGGCACTCTATCAGCATCTCAATAAGCTCACCAAAAACACTAGGAAAGATTGGTACATTTGGAATGCATATAATAACCACATTGAACTAAAAGCGAATGGGTTTTGACAAGAGTGTAAGTAGTTGATGTAGTTAGAACTGAATTCCAAAAGTGAGTTTTATTGAAGTAAATTATGGTAATATATATTTGCTTAGATGAATTTACTTCATGCCAACTCTGCTTTTGTATTAACTTGGAAGAAAAGTTGTCACCATCCTCCAATTAATTGTATTTTTTTTTTCCAATTAATTGTATATGATTCTATAATTATTTATAAAAAGCAAAACTAAAAATGACTAACTTTTAATTTACCCATCCTCTCATAAATGGGACTCGTTTCTAACTTTTATGAACGTGAGTTCCAAAAGTAGAAATTCCAAATAAATGATTGAATTTAACTCCATAACTAAAATCTAACCACTTCAAAAATCAATCAAAATGAACTAACAGAAGTGTGAATTGAGAAAATAATCATGAGCCAAGATTTTGATAGCATTCCATTCAAAAAGTCCACCAGCAGATTGTACTCAACCAAGCTACTTCGAATAGAAAATAAAATATTGAATGCTAGATAACAAAGATATCGGAGAAGTAAAAAGCGAAAGAAAAACCAACTCTTCTTCAAAAATAATTCATCCCCCTTGCCTCTTTTAAATTTTTTCCTTCCCGCATTCGCACTTCATTATAGTCAAACAAATAGTTTCAGTGCAACGAGACTAGCAATATTAAAAGCATAAAGTTTATGCAGATGCATGTGAGACAAATAAATGCATACTCTACAGTATAATGAAATGCTTCTTATGCAACTTGGAGAATTTTTTGCATGGAGTGTAAAGAGGAATAAAACAATCAAGCATCCTGAAAAGAGAAATAATACAATCAAATTTGAAGTAAGTGATTTCGAAGGATTACTTTCCCTTGAGACTTCATAAAGATAAACTTCCCTCCTACCTTACAGCGGTAAGCCAACTCCAGCTGCTCTGCGATGTCTTCACGTACAGGAAGCCAATCTAAACCCCCTTTTCGAGCAAACCAGTGGCCTCTTAAAACTCGACGGTTTTCCCCATTCCAATACACTGGGAAACAGTGCCGCCTAGTTAAATCTACCTGGAAATAATAAGAAAGATAAGGCAAAAAGACTGATAGAAAAAATACTAAAACGAAATATCAGTAAACTGTGACTACTAAATTTCATCCACTTTATATCTCACGGATAATAACAGAGAAAAAAATAAGGAAGCTATCAATTTCTGTACAGATCATCAAAAATTTTCATGCGTAGTTACAAATTTATCATCAGTCAAAGAATGAGCTGAAGCTTCACTTCTACCTTCAAAATTAGTAGAGCTACGATTAAAACTGGAATATAAAAGATTGACCACTGAAAAACTTCTTAATCAAGAACACATGAACAATAAATACAGGATTGGCCGATGACAGATCATTAACATCAGCACAACGTCAACTAAGCTTAGGGATCATTAACTTAGATCATGCAACGCAAAAAACAAAAAAAACTAAAAATAACTAAAAACAAAGTTTTTGAAATTTTAAAAAGACAATAAACAAAGAGGTTTGGAAAATTAGATTAATCACATACAAATTTCAACAGTCAGATATCCTGCTACCCAAGTTTATTCAGTAATCAAACTATCAATTGAAAGCGCTCACATAATCACCATCCCGTCTAAACAAAACCAGCATGGGATTTGAATACTGTCATAGTCATAAAAAGAACAGATCTTCAATCGAATCTAAACCCACACAACATTATTTCTAAATACACTTTAAATACAGCACAATCAAACGCATGCATATATTATGTCTCCATGTTACATATTCAGCATTTTTCTTCATATTTTCTTGTTTGATATGCAATGTTTCTTCATCTTCCAACCCCAAATCTCCATTTCTGATGTACAGCAACCAAATTTCCTCCATAAAATTTATTTGTTAGCAATCATGATGCAAGCAAAAATTTGGGAAAAGCACCAAATTTTTGCGAGCAAAAGAAACTCTTCCTAGGATAAAAGAAAATTACAAAAATATCCAAAAGGACAAAATACAACAAATAAAGCAAAAACAACTTCACTTTTATAATATAAGAGGACTTACAAACTTTGACACTTACGACACAAACATTAACATAAACTCCTAAACTTGCATTTCATAACATTGCTTGAGAAGAAGGATACAGGTGAGGTTGTCACTTGCTTCGAGAAGAAGAGGTTAGAAGCCAAGACGAAACATAGATCGCAAGCTATAGAGAGGAGAAGAAACATAGATCGCAGGTTTAGGCTCCAAAAATCACATTATATCTCTCTAAAACTTACAAAACATCTATAAATAGAAGAAAAGGGCAGCAAAACAGCCACCTAAAATCCCCAACCAAACCAATCAGCTAAGGGGAAGAGGAAGGGCAATAGACGCCACAAAACAGCTCCCAAAATCTGCACAGGAAACAGGAAGGAAAGCCACGGGAAACACAGCCAGGGAGGGACCCAAAGAGCCAACATAGAAAATGAAAAGGAGAGGCCACGGGAAAGCAGCCAGGGGGAGAAACCGAAGAGCCCACACAAGCACCCAGCAGGTTTCACGGGATCATCACAAAGAAGAAACCAAGGAGACATAAGAAGGGTAAGAAACAAGGATTTAACTCCTCTTAATGAGCTTACAAGAAGAATACCTTTTCCAAGGAGAATATCATCAGCAAAAAGCATACACCAAGGTACATCATCTTGCAAATGTATAGTGAGAACATCCATGACTAAAGCAAAAAGATATGGGCTTAAGGCTGATCCTTGATGTAACCCAACCGAAATAGGGAAAAGGTTTGTTCTATTTTTATATCAAATTTACACAATGAAAGATAATACTAGATTTGACACAATGAATAATGCAACAGGAACAAAATTGGTGATTTAGATTCATATTAAACCAACAAAAAAGTAATTGTAATTATTCAGAAAAAACTATCATAATGTAGGTTTACAAATTTTGTGGTAGTTTACATTAAAGTAAAAGCATACCAATTATTACACAAGCATTTTCATCATACCAACCATTACTAAATAAGGTACTAACTAAAACTTCCACAAAAATACAAAAACAGCGACTCAAAATAAGAAAAGACCAAAGCATTCCAATGACCTACAAGATAACACAACCACACACCAACCAGACACCAGGAAGCCTCCCCCCCCCCCCCCCCCCCCCCGAGGGAAAAAATACATTATTGAAAAATAAATACTTATTGGCTAATTTAAAAGAGTAAATCCTGCAAATAATGCCCTAAAAAGAAGCCAAAAAATGAATGAATAATTACATTTGATAAACTTCAAGCCTACTAAAAGATTATACATATATATACAAGGTATCAAGAAAAATAAATACCTCATAAAGGCCTCCTTTTACCGGTACACCAACTCTCTCTTCTTCAACAACATATAATTCATCCCATCCACTGTGAGGCAAAGAGTCAGAAGCCCTATAAGATTCATTCGGACCTTCGCTACATTCCGCATACTCCTTCCACCAATAAGAGAGCATGTCTTCCTCTCTCTGCAAGATAAGAATTCATCTGATAGACATCAAGATAAGTTCAAGTTGAAGTTACAACAATAGAGAAGTACAAAACTAAAAAAGGATGTGAAAACATGTTCTCAAGCTCAGATCAAACTACACACCATCTAAAATGATGCAGAGCTGGCATATGCAATCAATATCTGTCCATATGAATGTAGAACTTCAGCTTTTCAAGTACTAGCAGATTTACATAGAAAAAATATTAGCATAAAGAAACCAAAAAACCAGGAGGTAAGTCATACTTGTGAACTTAAACACAAGCACTGATTTAGATCCGCACTTATATTTAGTAAGAGTAGGAAATAAGAAAATGAAGAGTGTGGAAATAGAAATAAGATATAAGGATGGATAAATCTAGAAAGGGAGGATTTTTAGAATGAAAACCTTATGTGATTCATATGCATAGGCAATGTGATCATCAAAAGCATACATACCCCTATTGCAACCATATCATGGTCCTAATAAGGCTGAACCAACTAACCAAAAAAAATACCAATATAGAAAAAGACTTAAATTATATTGAGAGCGTAAATAAAGATTGAAGTAGATTTTTTATGCTATATGAGAACATTAAATATCAGGCTGTCATGGTAATGCAACTGAATATCCACCATTGATGGTTATTAAAGTGTAGCATGATCACAATTAATTTCCACTAGCTTTGACATCCTCTCATTTGATGAGTTAAATCAGGTACTATTCCAGAGCATATCAAGAAAAAGATGAATATTTTCTGTAACACAATAGAGATCCAAGTGCAATCTATGTTGGTCATTTTCTTGTTGAGGAATATTCAAAACATCAAGTGCGAGGTCATATAGTCATATTTAACGGTTGAAATAATGGAGTTATTATGATAGGAACCTAAATGTAGAAGTAAAGCAACTTGACAAACCTAAGTAAAGTTTGTTTTAAAGATGTAGACCAACATGAAGTGTGGTTTATGCCTAAAGGACTTGTGTGAAATTTACCAAAAAAAAAAATGCACCCATAATGTGAAGAGAATAAACCTGTAAGAAAGAAGCCTCAAGTGCAAGAGAATCTCTCACGCTAAATCTGAAATAATCACTTTTGCCCACAACCTCAGTGTGGGGAACAGAAGCTGCAAGCTCTGCAAAGTACAGTCAAAAATATTTTAGTACATATCATTAATCAAATTACAAAGTAAACAATGAGATGAAAAAAAAAAAAAAACAGCCATCTGTCTACACTAACCTACCACATAAAATCTTGATTTTCTGCAATCGCCAACTAGTCTGTTTTTAAAATTTATGATCACCTTCTAAATTATTATCTCCATTACACTTGTCCATCTAATGAAAGTTGGCAATGGGTAGAAGCGGCTTGGGTGACTTAGGTGTAGATTAGGTATGAGCTATCTTAAAAGCGTGTCAACAAGAAGAAAATCCATCAGCATAATTAATTGGGTTCTTGCTATTTCTCCAGAGAAGAAAAAAAAACTACAATTTTCATAATGAAGGCAAAAATTGTAAAATATTTATTCACTTTATCTACTCGTCATGGTAAAACAACAACATCAAGTATTTATCTCACTACGTGTGGTTGGCTATATGAATCATTTTTCTCCATTGTGTATCTTGTTAAGAATCTAATTATTATTTAAATCTAATAAAGAAAGATCATTTCTAATATTTTTAACCAAGTCTTTTTAGGTCTACATCTACCTTTTTTAACACAAGCCAAATCTAATACATCTACTCTCCTAACGGTGATAATATAACAAATACAAATATATACAGCGTGCGAGAGCATCATATTATTCATATATTTATGTTTTCACAAAAGGGATTAAAACTATAATGCAAACTTCAACCATGAGATCAAGCAGCCCATTTATATGAATAACTCACCTCTCTCAGCAAGAGGAACTTTGCAGAAGTACCAACGAACATCTTCACCATCAGAAGGGCTCCTCGTCTGAGTAAGGTACTTCTGGCGACCCTTGGACTGTTCAATCAAATCTTCCAACTTGGCTATGTTCGAAGGAGTGTTCTTTAACAAATCTGGAGAAGTCTCCACTTGGTTAATATCAGCTGCCTTTGCTGAGAACATTGTTTTATTCTCATGTTTCTCAATAGAATGAACGTTAGAATTATTCATCAAAACAATCCTGCAAAAAGAATCAAAAGAGCTTTGTGTCAAAAACTATGGGTAAATACAAAACCATTTGGACAAGTAGAACAATTGCAAGGAAAATTTCATTGTATTGCCATAAATACAACATCAAATTTTTGCGTCTCCAACAAACAAAGAAATTTAAAATTAAAAAAAAAATTAATTTAAAGGGCTGACAAACTAAAAGTAAAAAAAGGGGCAACGCTCAAAAAAATTAAACAAAGACCCAAAGGCTATTTTAAATGAAATTCAACTGAACCAATAAACCTTAATTTCTTCATGAGTGTGCTGTGAAATTCAATTTGAAAGTCCTGCCAATTTTACTGTTAAAGTCTGATTTATGTTCAACTTTCAAAATTTTTTGAAATATCAAAATTTTCTATTTAACTTCTAAGAAGGTTTTGCACTTTCAATCATAGTTTTGAGACTTTCAGCAACAGATTTAATGCTTTCAAACATAGTTTCCGGCTTCGTTTGGGAAAACTATCTTACAACTTTTTAAAACAATTCTTTAGTATAAAAATATTTTAAGCTAGACATTTTTTAGAAAGTAGTAAGAAAGCTGTCCAAAATGAAGCCTCAGTAAAAAGTTGCAACCAAAACTTGTGGAAACTAAGTTCTTTGGCAGTTTAAGAGCAGGTTTCAGGTAAAATTCATGTAAAAATGGCGGAAGGAGATATTTTTGCTAAAGCAACATAATTTAATCATATTGAATCGACCACATAAAAAAGATAATCCATCAATAATAAAATATTTGATCATGCATAAAAGCCTTCCGTCCATTATTGCTCAAACTACAATCCAAGTAATGCAAGAACATTACTCGCATAAAATGTAGATTACCAAAAGTTTTGTAGTTCTCACATAGCAAAATTAAATAACTTTCCGTAACAATGCATTCCTCACCTATTGATTACAAAGTAATGAAGTATGGCACTTAAAATTGCGGTAGTAGTGCTAACCAGTCATCCAAATAATCACGCGTGGAATTCACCATGCAAGATAATCCATCATCATCAACAACAAAATCTGAAAATCATACCAGCTAGTGGGTGAGATAACCCCAGCGTTGTATCTCATTCAAAAGTTTCATGGACAGAAATCCTATTAAGCATACAAGATAGCGTATCTTTCCATTTGAATATTTAGGTTGTGTGGCATGGCAGCATTTAAAATATTGGTTGTTGTTAAAATAAATTCTTCGCAGTTAGTATTCATTTAAATTATATGGCACATGCATTAAGGTATAAACAAATGCGTGCAAGTGTGATGACTGTTCTCAGCTGTGATTGTATAGAAGCATTGTCATAACTGATTAGGTCTATTTACAATTACATAATATAATTTTTTGTGCGTTGCATTTAAAGATATATATGAGAAGGATTTTTTTGTAATTTATAACCAAGAAAGGCAAGTAAACTTTCACATCAAAAGCTAGGAGACATATCCCACCACATATAAACAAAGAAATGTTATCTAAGCAACCCACTAACATTAAAATGCAACAATGAAACAACAATATGAAAGAAACAACCATTAGATTAAATACCGACTTCTAGGATATTAATAGCCTAAAAACTCAACAACAACATGAATTCACCAGTAAAAGAATACGCCTATGGTGAAGCAGCAACTTCATCAAAATAGCAACATGGGATTGTACTCAAAGAACTTCAATTTCTATGATATTATTCTGGTTAACAAAAAAGTCATCAGCAACTATTTCATCAAATGACATAAATATCATCTCATAATGGCAGGTTCTTATCTTTCAGATAATTTGAAAATATCTTTGAAACAACTGCTACAGTTGAATTTTGAATATGAGATTCATAAAACCAATTCACACTAAATTTTTATGTAAACTTTAGGAGTATATCCATTACTAGAATAATGCAACCACATATATGAGATCATGAAGAAATTTCTTTTTGATTAAACTTATTGAGATAGTCATAAACTCATATCTAGATGTTCAACTAATACTAAATCTGCGGCTAATAACTTTTAACCTACAACAATCGAGCAATTCATAGATCGCAACTTCAATTCACATCTACAACAATCTAGTAATTCATGGACAACAAACTTTCCATCTACAGCAATTCATCGACAGCCACATTCCATTTATATTGTATGGATAATTCTATTAATTAGCTCTATATGCCATAATTAATTACTAATTTCCATAAATGTTGCTTTCCTGAATAGTAATCTCTCTACATATTTATGTACAACCTTTTCTTAGGCAAGTCATGGGAATAAAATTCAATCATACAATCTCTCAATTTCTACTCTCGTCAATCTTCTTCTAATTTTCAATGTAGTATCCAAAACTTTAAGGTTCAACTGCATATAAGGTCGATGAGTCCTTCAACATAGTGTCTCGCCACCAAACAGACAATTCACTCCGAAATATTGAAAGCCAATCTTTGTCCAACAAAAGTAACTAAAATATATGTGAAGGATGCTCATGAAAAAAAAAAAGGCAGCGCCAGCAGCCATAAAGAAGCCAGTGTCAAGGAACTGGTATCTTCAACAATAAAAATCAACCTCAAATGAAAAAACCAATATAAAATATTGGATGGGAAATTTCAAAACAAACTACCAACAAAGATAAATCTTAGCAGCTCTATTTTCTAAGTTTCAGCCAACTAGACAGAAAAGTAAAGATAACTAGTTATTCTCCCAATATAAGTTTATTGGAAATATCACCAAATGAGCTTGGTTGCTAAAAATTATATATTCTCAGATGCCCTCATCATAAACAAGAACAAAATTACTACTTACTCAAGAGCATTATATCATATAACATAAATAAAAATATTTTTCACAATGACAATTAATGCCCTAAAAATTAGAATGTGTATTAAAGTAGATGGGTCACTATCAAATAGAGGTGTCAACTATTGACCCAACCCGGAAAATCCGAGTTCAAGTCGACCTGTTTGACAAACGGGTTGAATTCAAGTTCCAATTTATGACCAATTTCAAAAACCAGAACAGCTCTGATCAACCCGCTAACCCGAATTTGACCCAAGTTCTAGTTGCCCGCCGCGGTCCTGCACAAGCTTTAGCGCTCCACTACATTGCCTGCGCATCTGCATCGCACCCACATTCGCATAGGTAGACGCACTCGTGTTACCTACAGCTCGCGCTCACAACCCGGGTCCTTGCACCAGCGCTCGTGCCCAGCACCTGCACTCTCGCCCCGCACCTGCGCTCGACCCTGCACGCACGCTCTCGTCGCGTATCTCGTGCTCGCGCCTTGCCCTCACCCACTCAAGTCAAGCACATTGCACCAGCGCTCGCCCCTGACCCGCACCCCCGCTCGCCTGCTACCCTGCTCGCAACTCGGGTTAGCGGGTCTGATCAGGTCACCCTGTTAAACTGACGTGTCGTGTCCATATCTGAATTCTAGACTTGTTTTCCTAATCGGGTCAGATTCTTGTTGAATTAGTTGAATGCGGGTAAATTTTGGGTTGGACCCGAAATGACCCGAAAACCCATTTTGACATCCTACTATCAAAAATGATTGGAACGAGTTTTTTCATTATCTTTAAAGATCTAACAATTACAATATGCTTCTAATGTCCAGCCTATATTACAACTTTTACCGCGACTTCAAGTCTTAAAAGTCATAAAGATTAGATGTGTTCAAAGCTCTACTTTCTAAAAAATAATCCCTCAAAGAAGGAACAAGCTCAAACAATGAGTTTTAATAGTTTTGTATCCACCAACAACCCTTTCAAATTCCTAACACACATCAAATAATGATAGGGATGTTTTCTTTGGCATTATCTCCTAAGACACCAAAACTTCACTTAACTAGAACAATTAATTATTTTTCAATTCACCAAAAAAATATAAAAGGCTATTAACATGAAATTTGAAATCTACCTAAGCAATCCATAACTTCATATCATAGCCAAACCTATAAATATTCCAAACCTTTGTTTTAGTTCACAATAATGTGTGGGGACCATTTAAAGTCAAAAATCTCACTAAAAAATTATTTACTTCATTCATAAATAATCATAATTACCTCACTTGAGTTTTTTAATGAAAGAAAAATCTAAACCAAGATAAATTTAAAACATATCAACACTCTAATCCACACAAAACTTTAGTCCAAAATCCATGACCTAAAACTTGCTAATGCCCAAAAAAAACATTGAATCAATCTCATAAAATTACCATATACATCAAAAGAAAATCCACAAAGTTGTTTCAACACCCTTCTACAAAATGAACACTTCTTAATGTTAACTATATCAACAATATTATCCACAAATATTATTGATAGCGGTATATCTCATTAATAAAATGCCTCAAGAGAACTTAAATTTCAAAACTATGCTCAAATCTTTTTTTATTTATTTTCCAAAACCAAAATCATTTATTTTGCTCCCCCAAAAACCTTTTGGTGTTCATTATTTCATTCGCATCATCTTCAACACCAAAGCAAATTCAACCTTAGATCTATAAAGGGTATTTTTATTTGATACTCTCTAAATCGAAAAGGATACAAATATTATCCTCGAGTTACTAAAAAATTTTGTAATTCCATTGTTGTAACATTCCTTGAAAACCAACCTTACAACTCCATATGTAAAATTCAGAGAGAAGAAATTCAAGAAAAATAATTTCAAGGTGAAACTTATTTGATCATACGCCATCCTCTCTCATAAAATTCATGGATGAACATTGCTCATTGCCCCACATTTAACCTGCTAAAGCCTGACCAAAATCACAAACTCTCTCACCTTATCAGTACATCCAAACTATTGATGCCTATCTAGAACTACAAACTCACTGATCATCTCGTCAATACACAGAAACTATGTAAAATATGCTTTATGTTTATGCAGGGAAGGAAAATAAAATCTGTAAAGGATTGTAATCAGCATATCTCCAACACACCCAGAAACTTGAACTTCATTCAGAACTAATAAAGTACAAAGTTGTGAGAATAAACATATAGATGATGATATTGATGTTTAATGCCCTATTGATGTAAGAAAAAGGGAGAGGTTATGCGCCAAACACTAATATATAAAGTTATAACTAATAAAGAGCTTTTACTTGAGTTTCACGCTTTTCTCACTTCTGATAAAATACAAATTCCAAACAATGGTCATGAAGCTGTCAAAACTCTCAATTAAATGAAAAGTTGTAATGGTAGAAAGCTCTTAGAAAAAAAAATGATTTGTACAAAATTTATGAACTTTAGCCAAGCAAAAAACTAGTTGGATGCAAATGGATCTTTTTGGTCAATATAAAGCAAATAGGAGCATGAATAAATCAAAGCATGACTGATTGCAAAAGGGCATACCTAATAACATGGTATTACCTATTAAAAATTTTCTCTCATTGTTAAGCTTAGCACAATTTAAATTTTGCTACATTCATATGAAAAATTTGGACTGACCTTGACATTAACTTGGCATTAAGAATGTTTCTCTTATGGAAACCTTGAGAAAGAAGTATACATGAAGATCCCACCTGTAATGAAAGAAATTAAACCTTAGAAAATTTCATGGGAAGTTTAAGTTCTTAGTGACTTTTTTTTTTAAGTTCTTAGTTACTTAGAATACTTGCTTATATTGAATTAGGGTTGAGAAAAGCTTATTGTTATGATCTTACTTTGATATTGTATGCTACTTATTATTTCATGTTTTTTACTAATTTAATGGTTAATTATGAGGCTTACGCCTCCTCTCACAAATAGAGAACATATCAATAAAAGATTAATTAATTACAAAATTTGATCTAATCATCAAGTTGGAAATTTGAGCATGATCAACATATGCAAACTAGCTTGTGAGAGAATGATGAAAAATTCTAAATTTGGGGCCAACACGAGCAATCCATTGATAGCAGCCTCCCATCTTGAATGATCCAATAACTCATGGGCAACAACGTTTCATCTAGAGCAATTCATCAACATTTGGGCAATAGCATTACATTCATGTTGTGTAGTTAATTCAGAAATCTAGAATTAATGATTGATTTTCATATTTAATTCTTTTATAAATAGTTATTTCCCCACCTATTTGTACATAACTTCTCTTCTAAATGAAATTTTCTATTTCAATCATAATCGTGATCATAAACTTTTCATCCCAATCAAGATCATGAACAGTAGCTCAATCATAACATTTATAAGAACCTAAATATTGATTGAAGCATAGCATATCATACAATATCCTTCGGGGTAAATATAGAACCTAAATGAGCAATTGAATCTTGCACAGGCAAACATGCACATGTGATTCATAGTACTATGAGAAATCAGTTGCAATAAGAAAAAAAAAATTACTCCGGAGTTATTTACAGCAGTAATCTCCTAGGGATAACATCATTACATGTGTGCATATAAAGGAGCGTGAATCATAAATAAGACAATTTAATACATCAGGTTTATGAGAAAGGAACATTTGCTCATATTGCAAGCACTGGTCTTTTTTTTTTTCTAAGCACAAGATTTGTATGCTAAAGCCACATTGATTCCTTGATACCAAGACATGCATATCTAAGGTTTCACGCTAATTGGAGGATACGTTACAACGTTACAGAAAAATGAAGAAGAAATCCAAGGCTATGATATAACTTGTGCTACCGAAAGAAAAAGAAAGAAGCATAAGGGGCTGTTTGGCAACAGGATTTATGCAATATTTGAGCAGTAGTTATGCTAAATACTGCCAAACGGGATTTGAGCGCCCGGTAAATCTCACGGCTGAAGAAATCCTCCGTTTCCCTCTTTTTGCCGTAAATCCCAGATTTACTAAATCCTGAAGTCCTGCGGATTTACGGGATTTGGCCAAAGAAGCGCGCGAAAGGAATAAAGAGGGTTACCTTCTCAGCGAGCGAGATCCCGTCCTGACTTCCGATCCGACGTCGTCGAATGAGGCGAAAAAAGCTTCTTTAGCGACTCTTTCACGTTCCTCCGTAAAAATTCCTACTGTGAGTTTCGCGCGGTTTACGTGAATCACTGTTTAATGATACAAAAGGCTAGCACTCCATGACTGTTGAAACCTGGAAGAAGCAACCCTCGCGGCTGCTACAGGCGGCAAGGCGTTATATACAGTTCATAAGTACGAGAGGTTTGCTTCGCATTTAGACGGTCGGATCTTCGCGTGGGAAGAAAGCTACGCCGTCCGATCGAGCGTGATTTATCAATTCAAAGTTTAATCTTTTATCATCTAAATCTAAAAAGAAATTTCATAATTATTTTAATCAGCAGCTTTTTCTATAACAATTTTTCAATAAATTGATTAAATTCATAATTCAGTTGCCTCAACTACTATTAATTAGTTTAAAATAATAAATTATATGAATTAATTTTAAATTTTATAATACTAAATTTGTATCTTATGTTTCATTTAGGACGACTTTATTATCATTTTTTAAAGTAGCTCGTTAGTACAAAAGTATCTTGAACTACAAATTTTTATACTAGAAAGTTGTTTTAGAAAGTAGCAAGAAAACCGTCACAAACAAAGCCTTAATTTAGGTGAACTGATGATCAAACAAGCTTATGAATGATGCACTTAGGAGAAATATTTACTTAGAATAAATATGATTATATTTTAAATGTTGATGTATTTTCTTATCAAGCATAGTATTGTAGTGATAAAGTCGCATAATATATGATATATTTGTTTGTTGGTTTATTTATTATGCTTAGAGCTTTATATTGTATTTTTTATGATGTGATATGCATTGTTAAAGTGGTTTTATGGATATGAGCAATGAGCTAGCATAACCATTCATATATTATTCTTGCTCATATAGCTCATTTTAATCATTTCGATCACTCGTTGATCAACATCTAAATTGACCTCCACATCATGATGAATCTCTGGTACTGGCTCAAAATTGAATGCTTATTTATGATAATATTTTGAACTATTAAACATGAAATCTTCAAATTCTCTCCCACCCTTTATCTTTTGGATTCCAACCTCCTTGTTGTCCCTCTTATCCTAAACCTAAATTCCCCCTTTGGTGAGACCAACGATCCTACTCCCTCAACCATGGACCCTCCACCCATCACAACCAATAACAAATTTTCTACCCTCTCCAAAAAAGACAATTATAAATCCTCTCAACCAACCTCCCTCCTCCCTCCTTCCTCCCCAAGCCCTACTATCTCTAACCAGAACAGTCCTCCCCAAACTTCCTCCCCCCGCAACCACCAAACTAACATTCCCCATCCCTCCAAGGAACAAATTTCTTCATATCCTTCCACCTCCCAATCCCAACAACCACCAAATCTAAGCCAAAAAACAAACTAGAACCAAACAAGCCAAGAAGACTACAACTCTCAATCCCAAATACCAATACTCTTCCCAAACTTACAACTTGGAGCATACATGAGTTCAATAAACCAGACAAAATTTTGTGCTGTAAACAACTGGTTAATTCCCATTACTTAGACCTCCTCTTTATCCTTGAAGCTAAAATCTCCCAAGCCACCACCTCTAACCCTTGGTTCCAAAGCACTCACAAAATTTTCCCTTTGGAAGGCTCTTGCGACAACTTTATGTATTCCACTCCAGGACGTATTTGGATAAAATGGAATGTTGCCTCTGTGGATTTCAAACTTGAAATCACTACCAACCAATTGATACATATTATCATCTATGTTGTCACTAACCCCATATGTGCTATCACTATTGTGTATGCCGCTAACTCTTATGTGGACATGCAATTTTTGTGGAAACAAATTTAGGATATTGCCTTCAATATAAACCCCCCTTAGGCAATCCTTGGTGACTTCAAGTGCTGCAGGTTTCCACTTGAGAAAGTTGGGGGTATTTTACTCTCCAATAGTAAATTAGGAATCTTTAACAACATGACCTTTAATGTTGGGCTGCAAGATCTATCCTCTGTTGGACATTACATATACCTAGCACAACCAAAGGCCCAAAAATCCTATACACATTAAGTTGGATTGTGTTCTAGTCAATGATTCATGGCTAGCTTCCTTTCCCAACTCCTTCTATAAAGTTGGTGACCCTAATTGCTCTGACCACTCTCCCCTTATCCTGGTTAATGTTTTTAATGAGGTGAAAAAACACAGATTCATGTATAAGAACTAATGTTCCAAGGTTCTGGAATTTTGGAGTGCCTGATTGATGTTTTCTCCCTTCCTAACAAGAGCATCCCTTTTTCCTCTTTTATTACAAGTAGAAATTGCTCAAAAACCTTATCAAACACAAAAGTGGTCCAACTCCAACACCATTCAGACTAAGTTAGACTCCCTCACGACTCTTCAAAACTATGTAATCACCCAAATCCAAAACAATCCACTTGACATCCCCCTTAACCATTCACTGAATTGTATTAACTCCAAACTCAACCACTACCAATCCACCCACTCTAGCTGGATGATTCAAAGAGCCAAGGACGAATGGCTCACTTTTGGGGAAGATGACTTGAAATTCCTTTACTCTAAAATCAATATTACTAAGAATCACAACCGGATTAAAGAGATCAGCACTGATCAAGGGCCTATCCCCTCCCACCATGATATATCCCAAGTCTTCATCAACCACTTCTCCAAACTTTTCAATACCTCCACCCCTTCCTCCTCCATCCAACACCTCCATGATATCCCCACTGGAAATTATATCCTTGTTTTCCTACTGCCTACTATTATTGCTCCAGTTACTATGGAGGAAATCAAAAACATCATTTTTTCAGGTCATGCTAGCTCAGTCCCTCGACCTGACAACTTCTTATTTAAATTTTGTATAACTACCTGGAACACCATTAAGCACCAACTCTGCAATGTCATGATCTCCTTTTTCCACACATTGCCAGAGAAGAGACAAAATTGCATGAAAAGACACTTAATAAACCTAAACCTAACGGGGGCCTCGGCATTCCCTCTATTGACTCCCTCAACCACAATTTTTCTTGTTCGATCATCTGGAGGTATCTTAACACTAATAATCTACTTTTTTACTAGTGGCGCTCTAACTACCACTCTTTGTGGAATCCTAAGACCCTCAAATGTGCAATACTAAAGCATCTATGTAAGGTAGCTGACAACATTAGACATTGCATTACATTTTTTATCCACACTTACAGCAAATTGTCTCTGTTTTGGAACCCTTGGTGCAAATGACTTCTCCATTGCAAAAATGTTGAATGACCCACCCTCTATTAATTGCTTTTCAATTTTCTCATCCAAGGTGGTTTCTACAAATTTAGATGGTGAAAACTGGTCTCTTCCTCACTGTTTTGGTGCCTCGATTATTACTAAGGTGCATGAAATCCCTATAGCCTCTCTTCCGATTAATCACAATTGGCTTGGATCTCATAATCCCTTTTTTTTAAATTTCAATATGCAATGGTTCTCTTTGTTAGATGTTGTTTCTTGGCATAAAATGGTCTGGCACAAAAGATATGCCCTTTGCTTTTCTGCATTTTCCTGGTTGGCTTTCAAAGGGGACTTAAAAATTGTTGACGTTTTTGCTACCCATGGGATTCATACTTCTACTACATGATATTTTTGTCATATATAACCAAAATCTATTTCCCAACTTTTCTTTAAAAGCAGTTTCACTTTTAACATCATAAAACATTTTCTCCCTTGGCTGGGTAATCTCCTTATGAGACCGAATATTCATCAGGCTTTTGAAAGCATCCTGGAGCAGGGATTATCTGGTAATCGTAGTAGCTTTTACAAGCTTGCTTCCTATGCTATTATCTATCATATTTGGAGATCTAGAAACAATAAAATTTTTGGAAGAATTTTTTTATTGTAAATCAATTGTGATTACTAAAATTAAAAAAGCTATCATGCGCAAGACCTCTACTTGGAAAGACCATCATACAGCTTAGTTATTGCTCTTTTCAGTGGGTAAATTAATGGATGTTTATCCTGACACTATGGCTACTTCCTCATTTTGATGCCTGGGTGATTTTATTTTGGAAGGACAATGATGAACATTGGTTTCTCCAACTGCTCCTAGGATGATCTAACTAGAAACGAGGGGCTTCACTCTTGTGCGACTCTTTGGTGCATTTTTGGTTCGACCAATAAATTTACAAGAGCTACCAGTTGAGTCCTTCTCTCCTTCTCAATTCCTGAGCAATTGTAATCCCTTTTGGCCTTTCTAAGCTTTATTTTGGTTCCTAGGATTCTCTTTTTGTTATTGAGATCCTAGACTTTTGATTTTGATTTACATTTTAACACATGTAATTTCTCTTTTCTAATGATATGGGATCTGCCCCAAAAATTCCCAAAAAAAAATTATATTTTGCTCAAGTTTATATCTATTCATTCCTACTTCATGTAGCATGGATGATTTGTTTAAAAGATGTTGTGTAAGTATATTGCTTTGCATGTGTGCTTTTCAGTCAAAGTCATGATTACTTGATTGTGTGAGTTCATAATCATTGGAATACTTATAAGGAAGGAGATCATTTTTACAAAGGACTATCACATAATTCTACTTCAGTTATCTCTAACTCTACTTTGTTGTGCACCTACCATTCAGAAGTTGTCATTTTCTTTCTTATTTTCGTAAGAATGATTGATAACAAAAGCTTGGTGGGAGTATAAAATAGCTAAGACCTTTAATTTATTTATTTCTATTTTGCTACCAGAAGGTAGTTTACCAAGACAAAATACCATAATTTCATATTAATACTTAAAAAATATCAAAATTTTATTTATCAAAAATTAATAGACAATCATGTAATTGTTAATAAGACTAAGTAAAATTAAAGTCACGTGCCATTTTGAATTTTCACTCGAAGGATGCTTAGCCAAAATTGGAACTAAGGTTATGATATATCACTTGTGGAGTTGAATCAAATATTAGCTCAATGAGCATACTCGCTTTAATACTATTTTAGTTACCACTAAATCAAACAGTAACACACTAGCGAATGTTCAAAAAGATATTATTAAAATTGTGCGTATAGAAACAATTACTATTAAGATAATTATGAAGTTTAGAAGGATTTATTATCTTATTTGATTAATTAATCAATGATATGCTAGTTAAATAACAAATATTTATTTTATTATGCTATG